ATGGGTATTATTGTTTCTGATGAAACTAAAAAAATTTTTAAGTTGATTTAAAAATAATATATATTAAGTAAATCAAAGTGCAAGTAGTATGAAAATATGTTTTAAGAGTCTTGAATGTGATAGGAGGATAACTTTAGGAAGCTGTCATGGAGGGGTAGTCTCTAGAGCTGCCTGCCCCCCACCAGCTCTGTGTTCTGGACCAGGTCACATCCCCTCTCTGGGCTTCATTTTGAGTGCAAGTCTTAGGCATCTGGAAATACCAATGTTTCTGCAGTGAGGGTTGTCTCAACACATGGAAAATATTTCAGTTGAGTTTTTTTTTCTTCTGATTTTTGGTTAATCTATCATAGTTTATTTAAGCTTGCTCTCTTTCCTAAAAATAAAAAATCTTCTTTAGTAAGAAATTTCATGTTCAATTATCAGTTAAGAGAAGACATTGGCTTTAAAATTAAATCCCCAAATTTTATCTTAAAAGATTACATCTCAATAACTCCATAGGAGAAACAGAAAATTTCAAACTAAGCAGTCTCTTTATTGGTCAAATCCTGTATTGCTTTTGTGTAAGTAAGAAATCTGAAGTTCAATAGCCAAGTGATGAGATTTTTAAAGCTAGTGGTTCATCTTTGCATTTCTAGTATTGTTATGAGTATGTCCCACTGTCGATGCTAGACAAATGGTCAATGGATGGATAATATGCCACAAGAATGAATGAACCATATTATAGTAACTAGTCTAATAACAGAACTATAAATTTATCTCTCACTTATGGGAGATTTAAAAAAAAAATTAGAACATCATTATTGAATCATCTTCTTTGATATCCAAAGGTATATATATACAAAGATTCATACAGAGTAAGTTTAGTATGTTATTGCAATTTCTCTTATTTTGGGAATTGTTCTGAATAAGGAATCATCCACCTTTGTCTTCTTTTAGTCACTTCTCCCTAAGAGGGACACTAGTCCACTAGTTACATGTTTGAAATGGGTTTATGAGAATATACTGATTTTTTTTGTAAGGGATCAGAAGGTATGCTAGTGACTTCACTTTCTTGATATTTGCAGGGTCCATAATTATGCAACTTGGAGTTTTCAGGGGAAAAAAATTCAAAGACTGAGTAATTTCCAACAAGAGTAAAAAGTCTCAAAAATTTAAAATTTTAAAAACCATAGTAATAGTTTTGGCCACTGTGGTTCCGTTGGTTGAGCATCATCTCGTACACCAAGGGTTGCAGGTTCAATTCCCAGTTATGGCGCCTGGTTTTAGGTTGGGTTCCTGGCCATGGTTTGTAAGGAAGGTAACCAACCTATTGACTTTTTTCTCTCTCTCTTTCTAAAATCATAAAAAACGTATTGGGGGGGGGGACACACAAACAACATAATAGTAAACAAATGCCAAGTATAAAGACAAAATTAAATTGCAAAAACAAACAAACGAACAACAGGAGTTTAATATAGGCAGGAAAATATCAAGTTCAAGAGGTATGTCACAATATGGTCCAATTTTAAGAATTAAATAATTAAGACTTCTGAAAAGAAAAACCATATTCTTTACTCTTTATTTTGCTAAAATCATCAGCTTGAATAGTTTTCCAGCTGTGATTTAGAAAGTGGGATTATAATTTGGGTTTTTTTTTGGGGGGGTAATAATTTTCAGGAAGCAAAGCTTTTCCTTTTCTATTTGATGGAATGTAAAAATTGAATCAATAACACCGGAACACCTAAACACTCTTGTTTCAGTTTAAATTCTTCTTAATGCAGCCCCAGGACCTACTCTTTTCCTTCCCGCAGGTGCCAGGAGTCGCTTTTCTCTCTGTAAACACATTTTTTTAAGAGACTTGGATGTCTTCCTTCCCAAACCTCTAAAAATCAAAATGATTTATAGACTATCTCTATCCTGCTAGAGTTGGGCAAGTGAATGGATCACAGTTGCATGGGTCACGTTGATTATAGGACTTCGCTGTTTTTTGAACTAAAATTTCAAGATTTATTATTCTATTAATGCTCATAAAGTCACTCTTTTGATGAGCCATAATTTCCCTTTATGAGGAGCCTGTATGCCACTCACCCATGATAAGGGAGAAGGAAGTCCAGACTTCCAACATATTCATATTTCCTGGGTCATTTATAAAGTCTTGAAACCCCATATGACTCCAGAGGTTAATGACTTAGGGTACAGTAACAAAGGCAAACCTCACCCAGTCAACGTGTCCCTGTGAGACTTCCCTCACCTTGTTGGCTGTGCACAAAAATCTAAGCTTTTCCATTTCAGTTGAAATTTTTAGAAATCAACCCTCCTGGTGGAGAAGATAACCCACCCAGGAGGCTTGCATTATCTCTTGAGAATGTTCTTAGGGAGTGAGAAATAGCAGGAGGTGTGAACTTTCTTCTGTTTATCTTAATGGTCCGATAATGGCAAAGCATAATTACAGTTACTTAAGTGCCAGGTTTATCAAGATTTTCACTAAAATCTCCAGCCACGGCACTTTCCTTGATTGACCCAGCTTTTATTTACCCAGCCGCTTTACTATCATTGGAAAGAAACCTGCCCTCCGTAAAGACAAGCAGGCAAACAAAAGCCCACTCCGCAGCCAGGTTTAATTGATCCTAGTTATTTTAGTTGGGCAGTTTAAGACATTGGTGACTCCAAAAAAGTCGAAATAAATAAATATTCTATATACATATACATATACATATATATGTATATGTATATAGAATATTTATATATATATAGTATCAGTAATTGCAATTTTAGCCTTCCCACCTTCCAAAAGCAGGGTATGCAGGAGTTTTGTGGTAGTTTGCTTCATGGCTTTGGGAAATCAATGTGCTTCTAAACCAGAAGGTGGTCTTCTCAAGACCATCCTATATTTTGGGATGGAAACTTAGGGCACTGTACCTTCTATCCCCCACCCCCCGCCCCCCTCAATGCACCCCACAAGCCACCTATCTCCCCATCGCTCTCGGATCTCCTGGCTGCCTTTGTCCCTTCTAGACGTTGGAGGCTTGGAGAGGAGGTTTGGTTTCCAAGGATTGGAGCGTTTGAAGGGCGGGGCCATCTCCAAGTCCATCTCCCCTTTTTGTCCTCTCCTCCTGGGACGGGAGGGAGGAGCCGGGTCCCCCCGCGGCCGGCCGGGTCGGGAGCTCGCTATCTCGGTGGCTCGAGGTGAGTGGGAGAGGGCGCAGCCCGTGTGATTGCGGCGCAGGTTCATGTGTGGAGTTCACCGCGGCCGCGCCGCCGGGTCCGTGCCAGGAAGGTTTACGAGGTCGGAGGCGTGCTGGGGCGCGCTCGCTCGCTCGCGTTTTCGCGAAAGGCTCCTCCCTGGGGCTCATTCCCCGACTGCGGGAAGTCCTCCTCCGGTGCCCCGGGAGCCACGGGTTTCCTCTGACCTCGTCGCTTCTTCCTCCCTCCCCTGCCCTCAGTTCCCTGCCCCCTTGCCCTCCCCCCGCCCCCGGGGAAGGGCGGGCCCCCCAGCTTAGGATTCCCGACCCAAGCCAACCCAGAAGGTACCTCCACGTCGGTGAAGAATTTTTATCCTCCAAAACCCAGCCGTCCTAGGAGAGCTCTCCACCTGAAATACGATGGTTATGTTCCCCGCGCGTGCCGGGCTTTGACAGGGGGGGAAAGTCAGCTTTTTATTAAAGACAAAGAGGGAAAGGATCAGCCGGGGCGCTGAGAGGGACAGCGGAGACCTGGCCACGAGGACTGTATGGGGGGAGCCCGGGGTCCCGCGGGGGAGGAGCCCGGGGCCGGAGGACTTTCCCAAGTCCCCCGGGGCACCTGGAGGGAGAGTCCTCCCCAGTCCTGCACAAAGCCTGGATCCTTCCAGTCCCCAACAGCCTCCGCCGTCCTCCAAGCTCCTTTCTTCCTCTTCTCTTTCTTTGGACTCCAGGCGGTCTCGGTGCTTTCTCCTCCCCCTCCTCACCTACTTTTTCTCTGGCCTCTCCTCCTTCCCCCTCCTTTCTTCTCCTCCGCACGCGTAGGGTGTTATTTATTTATTTATTTATTTATCACACACACACACACACACACACACACACACACACCCGCCCCGCCATCAACACCCTTTTAGGGCTTCCCAGCTTTTCAATGTGAGTGGGAGGAGAAAAGGGCAGGAAGTGTTGACTCCAGGGAGGGGAGTGAGGAGGGAGGGGGGGGGGGTGAAGTCGTGCCTCTGGGTGAGAGATTCTGCCCCAGAATAAACGATCGGGGAAATAATCTAGAGAGGGGGGAAAAATGAGGATTCAGATCCGCTTATGACACCCCGCTTTCCGACAGAGACCAACTCGGCGCGAGCGCGCTCCTCCTCCTCCTCCCCCTTTATTGTACGGGTTCACGGATACATCTTCCTGGACTGTTGTGTTGGGAAGGGGGAGGAGGGAGCGTTTAAAAGAGGGCAATCTGGCCCTGGATCCTCACCGCCGCCGGATGCGCGCTCCCCGATGCAAAGGAATCCGGCGGCATCCCCCCCAATTCCGACGCGGACAAAAGAAACTTTAATTAAGGTCCCTGCCCCGCGCCGGCGCGCGCTGCGTGTTTCTCTCTCTCCCCCGCCCCCCAGGCTGTGGATGTCCAACTATGAGATGCGGGGAATAGAAACGGTACAACCACCCCATGCCCTTGAACTTCAATTGCTCCTGACTTGCTGTATTGATTTTTTTATACTGTAGGCACTGTCCTCACCCCCCCCCATCCCCACGCGCCCCCCCCCCCAAATATTAAATTAAAGCCTTAGGCGATGCCCCTGGTTGGGGGTGGGGACCCACTCCTTTACAAAAGGGATAATAAGTCAGAATGATTTGGGGAAAATTACACCAAATATAAAAAAAAATCATCAAGGTATGAAAGCTGCTTCTTGGCTCTCTTGTTGTCAACACCGTGACACCTTATCATTAGGAGCGCTGATTGTTACTTTCCGAGCCTGAGATGATCGGCCAGAAAGTGCAAACGCGGGGCTGGAGGGTGTAAAGTTATTTAAGTAGGCTTTTTTTTCTTCTTCCTCTTTTGGTGCGCCGTCAAAACATTTCACAAGTTAGGGAAAGAAAGTGGTGGTTCCTAGGCTTTGGAATGATAGGTTCTCTCCCTTCCCCACCCCACCCCCCCTTTCCATATCAGAAAAGAAATAAAGATGCACCATGAGCCTTTATTTCGGGGGGGAGAAGACTTCAAAAATACGTGCCAGCCGTGGACAATTTGAGCTTTTCACTGGAGACACACCGCAAGCTGGAAAGGGATTAAAGAGCCCCACGTGGTTGATCTGGATTTAGACTTGCAACCTCTAGCTCCCCATGCCTGTTCTTTGCAAAGATCGGCCTCTAGATGGATGCGTGTGGGGGACGCTCTGGGCCCCGGGCTCGGCCCCTGGGGCAGGACTGACAGTGGGAACCTCGCGGGCCACGGGATAGGGTCCTCCCGGTCTTCCCGGGGGGGTTCCCTCCACCCGCGGGGCGGCCGGGCGCCTTCGGGACGCGAGCGCGCACGTCTCAGCCCGGCCGGCTGCCGCGCTCCTCGCACCGCCTTCTCCGCAGGTCTTTATTCCTCTCATCTCCCTCTTCCCCTCCTCCTCCTCCTCTTCCTCCTCCTCCTCCACCACCACCACCTCCACCACCACCACCACCACCACCACCACCTCCTTCTCCGCCGCCGCCACCTCCTCCTCTTGCATCTCACTCACTGGCCTGCTGGCCCCGTGTTGCTCTAAGTGACAAAGACAATGTCCCAGCCTTAACTTTGCAACCACCTTGCCTCCTTTCTGGGGTTCAGCAGGGGGGAGGGGGGAAGGGGGACAGCAGCCGCAGCCCTCAGCATCTCCTCCAGCTTTTCTCCTTCTGCTCTTCTCCAGCTCTTGGATAAAAAATTCTTCCCTTGTATGCCCCCAGCCCATTGCCTCCTCCTCCCTTTCTTCCTTTCTTCCCTTCTTTCTCTTCTCTTCCTCTCCTGCATGTTGTCGGTGGTTATTAGAAAGGCTTCGCGCACCCCCTGGTGCTCCGGCGTTTTGTGTGGCAGGAGAAGATTGTCTTCCTTCTCTCTTTCTGTCTTGCTTTCTCTCTCTCCCCTCTGGTTGCTCATTATTCAGAGAGAGACACAGGAGGGAGGGAGGGAGAGAGAGAGCGCGCGAGAGAGGGAGGAGAGGAGAGGAGAGAGAAGAGGAGAGGGGAGAGAGGGAGAGGGAGAGGGAGGGAGGGAGAGGGGGAGAGAGAGAGAGAGACGGATATCTCAGGTCATCTGCAGCTGCAGAGTCTGAGGAGCCGAGGAAGGCAGGGAAGATGGCGATCCTCCATTGCTGAGACCCGGCAAGAAGCACATGAGACTCCCAAACAACTTCCACAACAATAACCCGAGCAGGAAGAGGAGGAAGAGAAAGAGGAGGATCAGGAGGCGGCGGGGCTGGAGAACCCGAAGCACCTCCCGGCGCCGGGACGCTCGCTCCTCCTGTAAGTTATTGCAATCAGCGGGCACCTCGGGGTGGCCCCGGTGCTCCCGGGGAGGAGGGCGCGGGGCGGCGGGCGCACAGGCGCGCTCATTCATTCGGCGGAGGAGGGTTGGCGGAGCGGGAGGAGAGGGAGTCCCCTGCCTGGACTGTGGCTGGCTGTTGGGAGAGAAGAAGCAAGAGAGAGAGAAGAGGAGGAGGAGGGGGAGGAGGGAGAGTGAGAGGGGGAGGAGGAGAAGCGAGGGAGGAAGAGGAGGAGGAGGAAGAGGTAGAGAAGGTGGTGGTGGTGGTGTGGTGGCCGCGGCGGTGGCAGCGAGGTGGCTGTGCTTTTCCTGCTGGCTGCTCTTCTGCTGGGGGCAGCGGAGCGCTGTGGCTTAATTAATTTCTATGTGTAGATCTATGGAGAGAGCAGAGAAAATGAAAGATGAGTGAAGAGAGAGAGCTGGAGGCTTAGGACGGATGCTCCGAGCATGGGGACAGGAGTAGGGACCGAGAGGAGGGGGGTGGGGGGTGAAGAGCGGGAGGCGACCTCAGCCCAAAGCCAGAGGGAGAGCTAGCAAAAGGGGCAGAGGAGGGAGCGCCCCGAGCAGCCCCGACCTGAGCCGGTTGACCTCTTTCTTTCTCTGTCCCTCTCCTTCCTTCCCCCCCAACCCCTCTCTGTCTACCTGTCCCCAGCCCGATGGCAAACCCGTGCGGATTGGCACCCCCCCTCTTGCTCAGGTATTTGACTCTCTCTCTCTCTGTGTCTCCGAAGTTGGGATGCGGGGTCGGGATGTGTGTGTGTGATGTGGGGAGGGTGGGGGGTGGCTGCTGCTGCTGCTGCTGCTGGTGGTGGTGGTAGTGCTGCTAGTGAGGACAGAGGCCCAGAGCGGGGGGCACCGGCCGGGTGGGGGGCGCAGGTCCAGGAGCAGCTGAGGAGCTCTCTCCAGGCTGGGGGTTCAGAAGAGTCTGGTGGACGAGGACAACGGTTTCAGGAGAGGAGAAGCCATTACATACGCTTATGCTCTCCTGGGGAAGGGAGAAGAGAAAGCACAGGGGCCTTGGGGGGTCCTCTCACTCCTGGTGTGCAGTTCCCAGGGGCCTGCCCTCCTTCCAGGCAACGAGGGGAAGCCACAGCCAGGCCCCCCCATCGGAGCAGCCCCTCTCTTTTCCCTTTCTTTATCTCCCTTGTCCTCCATTTGCAAGCTGTCTGCTTTGGTTCCAGTCCAGACTCCAAAACACAAAGCTCCTTCTCACGTTCATTCTCCAGGCTTTTCAACCATTCCTGAAGGAACCCTCATTTTCTTTTCATTGTAGCTTCTAACCTATGGGGAGGGAGGGAGGCTGCCTGGAGTTCCTTTCATATTCCTCCCCTACCAAAAAAAAAAAAAGTTTCATTTTTAAGCACGCATCTGGGATGGGAAAAGACCAACCAGTTGGGGCTTTCTCCCAGGGTTGGGGGGCAGTTGGGGGGCGGGGGGGAGCTGGGTCTGAGTGTCTGTGTTGGCTGTTTGGATTGCTTTGGTTTTGTTTCTGGTGGTGGCTTGCAGGTTTTGGAGGAAGTGACTAGTTTGGTTAAGAGCTGGGAACTGAGTCAGGTAAGCCCTTGTCATGTTGTAACTCCACCAGAAAATGGAGGAGAGCTGAGTTTCCAGGAGACAAAGCTGAGAGAAGTGTTTATAGAATTGTGGACGTTTCCATTTTGAAGCTCTGGTGGTGATGGCTGGAGGAGGAGGCTTGCCTGCCTGCCTGCTCCTTCTCCCTTTCCTGGGGGGAAGTCTTGTGGTGGCTCCTCACTGTCTATTCATTGCACAAGGAAATGAGGGGCTTTTAAGGACTGCTCAGATTTTTCTCCCACCCAGGGAGTGCTTTCACAAGTTATTGAGATGTTTGTTTCCATTTTAAAGTAAACTTTTGGATTTTTTTTTTCTCTCCCCCTTTTGAGTGGACCTGAAGGGTTTTGACCTCCTTCAGGAAAGGCAAGGCAAAGCCTTAAAGATTTTCCACTGAGATCCTCACACAACTTTCAGCTGCTGCACATCTAAAAGTCACCAGGAAATGGTGACTCTCCCTATTGTGAAGACGATGGTGCCCTCAGCTGAGACTGTGGAGTTCTGGGCTTGGCTATCATATGTGTTGATGCACTGCAAGACTTTATTGTCCGGTTAGGCTTGATCTCTGGGGGGGGGGGGGGGGGGGGGGGACACAAAACAAAACAAAATAAAAACCAACAACAAATCCTTCAAGATCTCAGAGAAAGTCTTACTGCCACCAGTTTCTCCAGGGTCCACATTTCTCTTCAGGTTGCTCCATGTGTGTGTGAGGCCTTCTTTTAGTTCCTTTGTTTTCCCCCTTCTCTTCCATCCTGCTGGTTTTTTTCTGTGTTCTCAAGTACTGTAAGTCTCCACAAATATCAAATGTCTTCTTAACAGTGTCACTATGGAAACACATTTTTTTTTTTAAGATTATGTCAGTTGAGAAAACCTATGTCTAGGTCTCCACACCTTTTTAATTGGGGGGAATTTATTAGTCTTCTAGGAAGACATTTTGTGAGGATGATGTGAAGAAAAGGATCTACCTCAGTCCACACACATTGATTGGAGTTCTTCCCAGATTAGTTCTAGGGAATGTATGTAATTGATCCAAGGAAAGACCTAAATCCTGACATGCTTGAGGATTTTATAAAAGCCAACCATGAAGATGTTGCTTTTCCATTAGGTAAGGTAGCCATCTTGAGGATGAGGGAAGATGTTGGAAGAATTTTAGATGGACTGTTGAAGATAGGTGAGAAAGGCTCCACGGTGGAATGAGAACTTGGAGGAGATTCAGAACCAATTAATGCATTGTAAGGAAGCTGATTAGACCTTGTTTCAACCAAGGAGGAAGACAGAAAGGTACCAGCTTCAACACAAACAAGGAGCACATTGGTGAGCGACTCATACCAGCTTTTTTCTTGCTTTCTCATGTGTCGGATTTGTGTGTGTGTGTGTGTGTGTGAAGTTCCCTGTGTCTACAGTATTTTTGTGCATATTGAAGTGGTTTCAGATTCCAGATGCAATTATATTCTGTTGAGTAGCTGGTAGCAGTGTCAGTCAGTGCATGCACAGTGCTGCATATGACAACATCACATTTTTCAAACCAAACTGTGGTGTCACTAATTGAGGGTTATTGTTCTTCTAAGGGGTGTGAAAGGAGAGGGGGAAACACATGGTTCTTTAGCTGATAATTGTCCCTGGTCAATGAAGTAAATCCTTGATTTTTGCAGATGAAGATGTGTGGTTTTCAATGAATGTGTATGCTCATTTGAAAATATTTCCCTTCACATCTCTGCGTCTTTATTCAAAGCCTAGGCCTCTCCAAGAGCACTTTAAAAATCGTACCTGGAATCACACCTTTTATTATTCATTTTTTGAAATGTTGTCTTTTGATGCCCATTGCTTTTGCTCTTAAGTGGAATATCATCAATGTTTTATTTAAATTTTGTAGTGCATGTTAAGATGCTGCATGCTCAAACTCAGAAGTTCAAATGCAATGGAATAAGGAGTTATTTGGAAAAGTAATTACCAGATAATTTTGCATCTAATTTACCAGATATGTTTATGTAAACACAAATACATTATACATTGATCTTGAAGCAAACTTCCATAATATCTTTTTTTATTGTTGTTGAGGACAATTGCTTAATTACTTATTTCAGTTGGAGGAAAAATCTGACAAACTGGTTACCAGTCCAGCAGTGTGTCCAGCAGTGTGACTTACCACATTTCTTTACTTTGCAACCAAATGTTTTAGTGTTTTTATAGACAGTCTTATAGAGATGAGCTTTCTGGGAGGAAAGAATTAAGAGTCTAAGAGGCATTCTGGAGTTGGAGAAAATGTTTTATTAACAGTTTACCTAACAGACCCATCCCACCTCTGATTCCCTTCATCAGTATGGGAAGTACCATAATATTAAACACATGGTTTCTTATATTTATCTAAAATATACACTTGAAATGGGACAAGTATCTTGGATAAACCATTATGAGAGAATTAAAAAGAATGTCAAGTTGAACATTCTCATTTGATGTCAAAGCTCAGAGATCCTTTTTGTTTTTGAGGCAACTAGTGGATGAGGCTCGTTATGCAAATTTTTGCCACAACTAATATATCATCAGGAAAAACCATTCTGAAGAAATATATGTGAGCTATGATACACGCTGTCATTTAAAAAAGATTCTTGTTGGAACTTTGTAGTCCATAATTTCGCTCATATTGGATTTATGTCCATCTGATTCATTGATCACATTCCCTGCGGACTTCTTTCTTCCCCCACTCTTTGGAGTTAGAGACAACTTTTAAATAAACTTTTTATATATAAGTATATAAAACCTTTCTAAGGAGTCTTCCAGAAGACAGTAGGGGAAAAGAAACCCAACTCTACTAATGGACTTGAGCACTTGTGTGGTCAGTTTTCCTGAAAGAAAAGAATGGTCAAGTTGCCTTGGGAAAGAGTTCTGTTTTTTGCCTGATGGGGTTTAGTAGAATCTAGTCTATCTTGAATTCTTTCCTGGTGTTGAGTGGGGTGTTTTTGTTTTTGTTTGTGTTTTTGGTTAAGGTAACCTTACTTACCTTCTTGGTGGTGTGTGCTTCTATCAGATTTATAGTTCACTGCTTATGGGATAGAGCATTGACAAAGCTGTATTGAATGTTTCAAGTTGATGACTGGAGAGCAGAGGTGCTATTTCACAATACCACACTCACAAATGAGGAAATATGTAAATAATGAACTCAGATTGCAAAGGATCTCACAGGAGTGTATAAGTGGATGATTGGTACATGGGAACTAAGGAAATTAAAAAGAAGTGGGGTGAAATATTTCCAGGATCTATCACTAAAAGTCTAGTGAACTGAGGGGTGGGGGATCACTGTGTGTGTGTGTGTGTGTGTGTGTGTGTGTGTGTGTGTGTGAAGGCAAGTATCTTTGGTGAGGTTCACATACTTATGAAGTTGGTTGCTTTGTGAGAAACATTAGCTGGTGACCTATTAATTGATTATGAGAAAACAGAGAGGAGAAGAGATAGTGCTAGAACAAAATTCCTCTTGTGTGATATGCCAAGACATCTGGCAGATGTTATGTTGGGCCCTAAGGAATGGACAGTTTAATTTTAGCCCTAGCAAGGAAATGGGAAGTTCTAAGCTCTTTTAATAGCACAAGTCACAATTCTTAGTTTGGGGAAGGTTGCTTAGAAAAAAAAAAAAGAAAGAAAGAAAGAAAGGAAAATAAAAGAGGCATTTATTATAATATGAAAGAACTCTAGGGAGCACCCGATGAAGCTGAGGTTTTGGGGTGATGGACAAAAATATTTCCCAAGTAGAAATTAACATTAAAAACTGACAGAGAGATACCATAAGTGATGAGTATTAAGTATTTAACCTTCACCAGTTAGAACTTATAGTTGAGAAGCTAGTTGTTTTGTGCCTTAGAGAGATCATCAACTTCAAACCTCCTCCTCCCCCTCCCCCTCTGCATTTTACTGAAGAGGAAACTGGCACCAAGACTTGAAGTGACTTGCCCAAGGTCAGAAAGTTCAGCTGTAACAAAGCCAGGCCTACAACTCAGGTCGGCTGACTCCCAACCCAGTACCCTTTCTGCTGCCCCAGTGCACGTGACTATAGCGGTTTGTGAAACACCATCTCAGGACACTAATCACACATGAGTGGGGCAGTTGGATTCGTGTTAGTAGAATTTAACATGTTGGGGAACCCTGGCCTGAACATGGTTTCACTTACAGAAGTGGTGCTCCAGAGGCCAATTGTATTCCTGTGACTTTCAGTCACATTTGAGCTGTTGGGTCTGTAGCTGAGTTTTTCACTGTCCTCTCCTCCTCTCTGGTTCTGTCACCCAGGGCTCAGGAGTCCTTCTCAAATGCCCTTCTTTGGAAGTTTGTCTGGGTCAATTGCAGCTTACAAAAGTGCCCACAATTGGACTCTGAGAATCTTATTTTGCAACATGGTACAGATTTAAATTGGCTTCTTTCAGAGATGCCATTTTGTAATCCTGACAAAAGTCCAAGGGAGAGAAACCCAGTTTAAAACAATTACTGGTGATTTTGCAGGGTTCTGTGCTCATCCAGACACGTGCCCTCCGTGCACCTTCTAGGAGCCCAGTTCTCCCTTGCAGACCAATGGCTAGCTACTTCCCATTCCCCACTCTACACGAAGGCACCGTTAAAATGACTTTTGAACAACACGAGCAATATTTAACCATGTGAGAGAGAGAGAGAGAGAGAGAGAGAGAGAGAGAGAGAGAGAGAGAGGAGGGAGGGAGGGAGGAGGGAGGAGGGAGGAGGGAGGGAGGGAGGGAGGGAGGGAGGGGTATCAGTACTTCAGGAAGGGTGAAATGGGTTTCCATTTCTGATTCCTCTTGGGCAAGTGAAGGCAACTTTGTGAAGAAGAGTGATGTTTGGAAGTTTTCACATTTTCCAGGCTTCTTCCAAACCAGAGCACAAAATACTCAATCCAGGAGGCAGTCTGGAGAAGGTAGTGCTGGATGTGGACTTCTGGCAGGAACACAGTTAACGCTATAAACAGTTGAACCTCAGTGTGGCACTCCTCCAAATGAGTTGACTGTCGAAAATAAAATGTTCCAGAAGAACTGGGAGAACAGGAAAGAAGTTAAAACAGCATGGTTTGCATGCCAGTACTGAAGGGGGAGAGAAAAGTTGGGGAGGTGGGGTTATTAGAGAAAAGATAATCCTAAATTGAAACTGTCTCCTGGATTTATAAGACCCACAAGAAGAAGTTTCTGAAGGGAAAATGGATTTTTATGACTTGAGATTGTGTTTGCTGTCGACTAGGAAGCTCTTCTGAATCTTTTGTCCCCTTGAACTTTGTATCTTGAGAACTGCACACACTGATAAATAGGAAGTCAATTGGAAGCGTTTTGGGTTTACATTTTCTGCTTGGAAATACTATTATCAAATTTATCTACTTTCTAAGGGCTCTTGTCCTCAGCAGTTGAAGCATACATATGATATTTAGTCTTTGGATGTGTGGCTCCAACACAGTTGGTGTTTTCAGGGTTTGGATAGACAAACAGTGTGGGATATGGTACAAGAGGGCACCAGTATGGTCTCCTGCTATTGCATTGTCTTTCAATTCTGGTGAGCAGATTGCTTGGTGCCTTCAAAGCATTCCTACTAATTCCTAGCTGGAGACCTTTTTTTTCTTTTTTCTGGAGCTATCCTTGGATGGAAGGTTTCTCTTTGTGCCAGGTCATGGTTATTTCGGAGTTGATTTTCTTGCTTTCATGGCTTTGCTTGTGCAGTTCATTGCATGTTGCTTCTGGATATTAATAAAATACTTCTGTGCCTGTTCACATCTTCACCCCACACTTCGTTCAAAGAGCAGAGTGAAAGGGTAAAGGGAAGGTTGGTGGGTACTTGTTTGTTCAAGAACAAATTCTTGAGATGCAGATCGCTTAATTCTTTTGGTAGGTTTTTGAGTAGACTTTTAATAAAGACCAGGCAAGGAAAAATTCTGTTAGGAATCAGTGGATCCCTATTTACATGTTTTAGGATCACTTAGTTGGAAATGAAGCATTTAACCAAGATGAGTAAGCAAGGACTTACCGTTGACTTCAGATTGGTTTGAGCACAAAAGAAGCTGGAGGCCCAGGCCAGACAACTGTGTCAGAAGTAATTAAGCCCAGGATTTGTGGAGAGGCTTAGCTGCCACAGAGCCCAGCTGGGGGAGGCCAACCTCACTCCCTAAGCCCTCGTCTGGCCAGTTGAACAAGAACATGAGCTGAAGCCTTCAGATTTTGGAATTCTTCTCTTCCCTGTTCAGATGTAAGAGAGTCAAGTCGTTATTCTTCAGTTTTGCTCATGTCAGCTGAGTGCCTCTCTCAGGAGCTGGGGAAATGCCAGGGGTCAGGGGAGCCGATTCCCTCTGAGGGAACATTTTCCCTTTAACGCTACAAATGTGCCCATGGCATTGTACTTATTACTCAGAAAATAATTGTGCAGCGGCACAATGTGTGATACTTGAAAGATGTTTGCTGCACAAAGGTTCCAATACTCACCTGCAGATTAAGAAATGGGCTTATAAACCATCTCATTTCTATTGTTAATGAAAAGCTTTGGAAGGCACCTGTGAATTAGAGCTCCAGCTGCTATCATGGTAGGGGAAGTTAGGCCTTGAAAGGATACACGGATTAGCCCGTCAGAAAAGCAAACAGTAGCATCAGCACAAGTAGAAAATAGACAGGGTTGTTAAGCTAACAGAAAAGTAGGCTGAAGCCTTGCCATAATTACGTGGTGGAAATTCGCTGGGAAGGAGAGACGGCTTGGACGGGATAAGGAAAAGAAGAGAGGCAGGGGGGAATGAGTGATTGACAAGGGAAAATAGAAGAGGCCTGTCCGCTGGGAAGAGCCTCCAGGAAGAATAAAAGGCATTGCTTTTAAGAAAACAATAAAGCCGGTGGAAAAAGACCTTGTAATTTGGTACCTATTGCATGTGAAATATGAAGACCAGTGCTCGGGCCCACATTCTTAGGTCTGTTCTTATTGTGAAAAATAGAATTGGGCTTGGAAGACAATTTATGTGACTTTGGGGTTTACAGATACAGCTTTTCTGATAAAGGACAGGTGGAAGGAGAACTGGGGTAAGTAGGCCTATGAGGAGATTTTCCTGGAAAATGAATGAGGTAGAGACTAGAGCACAGCAGTAAATAGCTGCATTATTAATGGGCAGAAAATGTGATAGTCCTCTCTCAAGCTATCCATAGAGCTTCTCGACCTACGGTCTGGGTGTTACAAGAAGTGAAGAACCAAGACATGCTTATTTCCGAGGGGAAAGGAATAGACCTATTGTCCAGTTTGGGCTTAAGCCATTTGCTTCAGCCACGCATCACAGGCTGCTCTGTCAATCAAATCCTGGCATTTTAAAATCCAAAGTAAGGCCACTGTGGTCTAGAATGTTTAGCTGTTCCAATCCCTAAATACATCATCTCTCTGTGTTGTGACCAATAGGTCAGCAATCAAGCATCAATCACTCAGCTCAGACTGGACCTGATTCAGTGGCTAGAGCGTTGGCCTACAAACTGAAAGGTCCCAGGTTCGATTCCAGTCAAAGGCACATGACCAGGTTGTGGGCTCCTTCCCCAGTGGGGGACTTTCAGGAGGCAGTCAATCCATGATTCTCTCTCATCATGGATGTTTCTCTCTCTCTCTCTCCCTCTCCCTTCCTCTCTGAAATCAATAAAAATATATTTAAAACAATTTTTTGAATACTGGGTAATAGACTAAATATGGCCAAAAATAGATACCAGGTGTATATTATGCAAAGATTTCAATTACAAGTAGTTATCAGATAGAAGCTTTTCTTCCAAGGTTTCTATCTTAAGTGATCTTCTCAGAGACTATGAATTATTATTTAGTAATGAGAATTGGGGGAGGGAATCTGTATGGAAGAGACCATTTTCATTTGCATGTCAGAGTTCATCTGCAAGAGCTTCTCCTGCTGTCAGTTGAATATTGTTTCTTCTAATGTTGGGTAAGATTACTGTCTGTAAAGAGAATAAATACCGTATGATTGCTTCCTCAAAAAATGCTGCCAACTCCTCTATAGGGTGGGAAGACCCCACGGACCTTCAACAAAACGCTATTTCTCCTCTTGGTGACGAATAGTTCGTATGAATACTAGGTGATGCTCATTTAACATTTAATATGAACCAGAGACTGTTCGTACAGAAGAGAAAAACCGAGGTTTGGGAGGTAATTTACCCAAGGTCATGGAGCCACGAGGTGTGGGAGTGGGGGAATTACCTCCTGGCTCGTGGCTGGTGGGAACTGGCCTTGGTTATTACTTAGTATGCTAATAGCTTATGTTCCTGATGGTTTATCTCTTCCAGTTGCCTATGCCAGGAATATATCCTAGTGTTCTGGAAGGAAATCTGAGCATAATGGAAAATTAATTGTGATATATTAGTTAATATGAGAGGTATAACTTACTGTAATAGCTTGACAAAGTGTGTTTAACTGAAGAGGACCTCTTTGTGTTCTTCTGAGTTACAGAGATGGGGGGGATAGGAGGGGGAAGCAAGAGATCATGTAGGAAGAAATTAGGAGAATAACTATTTTTAAATTGTACTGTGTCAAGCTTAGTGGTGCAAAGTAGTTACACATGCGGATATTTAAAAAGAGCACCTGTCTTGTGGCAGGAAGATATGCTGTATGACATTTAAAAAAAAAAATAGATTAAGTATCTGATTTTTTTGCCCCCTTAGGGCCCCTTTTGAAGGTCTCAGTGCCATCCGTGTTGGCTCTGGTGACTTGTAGACACAAGAGGGTTTTTCAGAAGCTGCATAGACATATTTGAAAATTAGTTCCATCAATTTTGGGAAAACAGGGCAAATCCTCTTCAAAGGCCGGGTGCTGGAGTCCCCCACGCCCTCCAGTGATCACCATGTGCTCTATTTAGATCACGGAGACATGATGAATGTTTTGGTTCTATTTGCTTCTCCCTCAAACATCACAGTACAGTAAGGAAGCTGCTGTTCATGGATGACCACAGATGCCCTTAATAGAGTAACAAGATGTACTGAGGGAGATGGAACAGGTCCAGCTATCCCTGTGATATTCAGGACAGTAGCTTCTCTGTAAGACAGGGAATTGGGCATTAATTGCTGACTAGACTCTTTAACCTCAAAGCAACTAGTAGTCGTTTTTTTATAACATCTTAATTTTGTTATGGAACTGTTCAGATTCATGCCCAGGTCCTTGTAAGAGGATGAGCATGTGTCCTGTATGTAAAGTGTACCAGAAGGCCACAGCGTCACCCATTTTTACCTGCCATTCATATCTATTAAACTGACCAAACCATTGTCTCCTTAAGATATGGGGGATTGCTCAGGAAAAAATAACTCCATAGTTGAAGAGAGTATATGAAGCATGTGGCTGTCCAGATGGGATTTCTAATTTCAGAGCAGTAGGGACTCCACTCAGTCTTAGGTAGCATCAACTGAGACCTGAGTCCCTGGTACCTAGCTCTCTGAGATACTCCCTCACACTAGTCTTTCTCCAAGACCAGCCCTCAGAGGGCTTGCCTTTTCAGCCTTCCTCTCACTTCTTTGAAGAGAAATCTACCCAGTCAACCCTCGGGGGCTTTGCAAAAAGTGAAGGTAAATTGGGTCTTGTATCCATGGGGATAGGACATTGAATTTGAAAAGGCACTCTTGAGAGGTGGGGTAGGAGAGGAAGCCTCAGAGCATGTCCTGGAGGTAAACGTTTCAAGTTTCTGTACTTATATCCAGGGGAGGAAGCCTCCATTCTACTCAAAAGAAAAGGAAATCACATCTTCAAAGACAGATGCCATTGTAATGTGAAGAAGCACATTGTGTAGCTCACATAAAATAGCGAGTCTGTAAGAAAGCAGAATTGTGTCCAGAACTTGTATGGAAGTTCTCATCACTCATTCTTCTCTTGGGGAGGGGGTGGGAGATGGAGAAGGGAAATGATATTGAAGAACCAACGTCAGCCCTCCCTGAAATCCATCCCTAACCCCTTGGCAGTCTCAAGAATCTGAGTACCTCACCCATTCTTTCTCTGACCTGTGGCCGTAGCTTGTTAATATGAATGAACATCACCCATAGACCCTGAAATTAGCAAGTGTTAAATGCTATGTATTTATTAGGGGGAAAACCATAATCTAGTCAGTGGGCTTAATTAGGTTATGATTGCCCAGTTGCTGCTTCATGATAATTATATTCATAACCCTGTTTCTAGACGTCAACTACAATGACCAGAATTGACCCCCAGCGCAGGTAAGTGTTAGCGATCTTTTTTGAAGCAGCTTCTTAATGGTGGTAAATTTCCAATGTCCCCGCTGTTCTCTTTCCCTTCTTGACACCTCCATCATCTTTCCCCCACTTTAGTGGAAAGGACGGTGGCAATATTACTTTGTCTATGACCGTACACATATTGTATAGCCTGTTGTCTACATTTAAAAAAAGTTCTGAGAGTCGAATGACAGGAAAACGTTCATAAACCAGCAAATAGGAATCTTCATCCATAAAAATCCCAAATTGGCTGGGTTGTGTCTTTCAGCACATGAAACCTGCTCAGTAGACTTAATGTGATTCATTTGAATAAATCTTTTACTTTATAAGGCATAATCTTGAAAGGGAAAAAGAGAGTCATCTGTGTTAAAGATACTGCCTTATCACATGATCGTGAAGGTCTAAGGAATAAGGAGGTGAGAGCGTGCCACTTTATATTACCCTCTTTCCCCCAAATCCATGACATTTGCCGCCAGTGTATCCTTGCAGAAAAAAAGAACGTGTCATTGCCAAAGACACTGTTTGCTGTTTA